GGAGAGGAGAGGAGAGGAGAGGAGAGGAGAGGAGAGGAGAGGAGAGGTATATATGTATATATATTATATTATATATATTTTTCATATGTATACACATACACCAGCATAGGAAGGCGCAGTCCTGTGAGAAACATGGTTTTCTGGAACCACTGAAAGCCCTGGAGGAACCACTTTTTGACCCACCCTCCCATCCCTCCGGTTGGATCGAGATCGATCTCGTTTCCCACGTGATGTCTGCCAACTCCGCTGGAATCGATCTGAAAAGAACAACCTGGTGGAGTTTGCCCCCTTGAAGGCGCTATTTCTCTCTTCTCTACAAAATCAGCAGGGAAAATCCATGCATGCAACTACTATGGACATCTGAGAAATCAATCCAGGCAGGAGTGCAAATCGTGCGGTGCAGTCAGGTCGTGCTGCTAGTAGTTCAACCATGAAACTTTGGCAAGCTACTAGGAACAACAAGCTATATACTAGGGGCTGCTACTAGGAGCTCACTTCTTTTGGACAGTGGACAGTGGCTACCTTCGGCGAGTTACTCACAGCAGGACTCGATGGACAAAGATCTTCCACCACCTTGGAACTGGCTTCTTCAACACACCTGGCTGTAGGTCAACCAACATCCACCCTCCAAAACCATGGCTGTACATTTCTTTGCTGCCTTCTGTGCTCGTCAAACTTTGTGATAGCCATTAAGTTCTCGCCTTTGGACACTACTCCCAATGGGGAAGGGGTGCGTAGCGAGCGGATGAGGGCGCAAGATCGAGTACTCACCATGCCACCTTTGTCCAACATTGGGCCCATGACGAACATGATGAACTGGTCGGTGAACTCGCTTGAAAAAGTCTGAGTCAGTGGGTTCAATCATCTCAACTGAAGGTTGAAAATAACGATCACCCAGTTCAAATCAGGTCTCGACGTTGTCCAGTGGTCCATCAGTACCTGCATCGACAGGATCCAATGATCCATGCAGCTGAGCGCGTTTCTGCACTCTGCAACAACATTAAGGTATAACTAAGCCCAATGGATCCAGTTACCACTATAGTAGTAGGTAACCATGGTTCCAAAGACTAAATCCGTAGACGAAGAAACCCTGGTTCCTTGTGGTTCCTGATATAGTTGCAACTGGGATCCACTAGGAAGGGCTTAAATTGGTAAGGACGCACCAGCAGGTAGCTTCAGGTGGAAGAGGTCCAAAGAGAAGATGGAAGAACTCCGAAGTGAACGTATATATTCGTTGAAATCCATAGTGCCTGCCTGTACCAAAAAGTACCCTAGAAATGGGACATGACTTGTCACCAAATAAAGAATGTACTTGGACCTATTTCCACAGGTAACTTGAAGCGTCCAGGTACCTCTTCATTTCATCACAGTTCAACCTCTCTCTCTCTCTATATTAGTATCTCTTCACATAGGCCTTTGGGTCTTCAATCTCTTCCATGACCTCCTCCGGGCTTTTCCCGCTTGGTCTTCGCCAGAAATCCACCAGCATCAGTGCGGGAAGCCGCAAGAATACCACGGGGAGATCAAAAAGGGTCGGGTCCAACAAACAAGATAGGGCATCGATGATCGAAGCAAGGAACATTTTTGGACATTCATTGGGTATATCCCATCACTAGTAACAGGAGATGATGATGATGATGATGATGGTTAGTCACGGCCTTTCTCCACATCCAGGTGAACAAAACAATTAAGTTAATATAGTTATAATCATCAGAGTTTGCATCGATTGCCCATTCGCAGTCCTCAGGCCCAAACTGACCATGACTGACCTTGGACTTACACCTCGCTAGAGAGAAACAATCATGTCAGCAAGCTCCGCTCGGTCTTTACGCAGTTCTTCGTATGCAGCAAAGATCTCGGGCGGGAGGCATTCCGACAACCTGGGAGATCAGCAGTCAGATTTCCCCGACCTTTGGCAGTCGAGCTGCAGGTTCTGAACAAAGCCGAACAATTCTGAGGGTTTCGATGGCTGATGGGCGGAGCTTGTGCTAAGGCGAACAGGAAAAAAAACATGGTGGGATTACAGTGGGATTCAACTGGAAGGATACACCATTGGCCAACGATTTCTACATGTTTCTACCCACAGGTGTACAGGGCCAACGACAAAGGCAGCTTGGTTGTCAAGCCAACCCAGATTAACCTAGTATATGCCAAATTTGTGAAGCTAACAAGCTAGCTAACCTAGCAAACCACAGTGACCACAACAACAATCCTGAGATAGATCCTGAGATCTTACAGTCTTTTCGGAAGCTTCCGTTTGAGCAGCTGCCCCTGAACGGCTCCGTTTGAGGCTCCGTGGCTCCGCGGGCCTTGAACCTTTGACCCACGTTTGCACACACGAAACAGCAGGGCCCTGCAAGTTGAGGTGTTCTTTTTACCGCCCTGCAAGTTGAGGTGTGTTTTTCGAAAAAGTGTACCAAACACCGCTCCTGCAACATATTGTGAGTTGTGAGGTATTTTCATGATTTTTTGCACGTCCTCTTGACACTCGCACGTCCTTCTGTCGCACATTTGTGTGTCGTTGTCATTTGAAAATTTTGATATGATCGCTGCCTGGTCATGATCGCTGCCTGGTCCATTTTTTGGATACACACTTGGAGTTCCGCAATGCT